AAAAAAAAGTTGCCAAGTTACCAAGCGCTCAAAAAGTTACCTATTTTGGACACAAGTGACCAAATGTGGCAACCGTGGTTGCAACCGCCGTTTTACATAACATTTGCAACTTAAAAAACGATTGTGTCGCTCCAGTAGTCTGCGAAAATGAAATAAATAATATTATCGATACAATTGTTGAAGTAGCCACAATCTCAGCTTCAGATCGAAATGAAAATTTATATAGAAAACATATAATACAAAACTATTTCGAATGCTTGTAAATTTCTTTCGATTATTAAAAAAAGAAACATCTTTAAAACTTCTTTTATTATAAAATTCAGGAACACATTTAAGTATTTATGTAAATATTGGTAGGGCACATATGCTTTTATGTAATTATTCAAAAACATATTTATCTATTTACTATTCTAGTACTTATATCGAAAACGCCTTATCTCAGAAAACTTTTCAAGAACGCCCTACTGCAGTATTTGATTGAAGAACGCCCTTTTTCAGAATTTTATTGAAAAAAGCCTATCTAAAAATTTGGTTTAAGAACGCCCTACCTCAGAATGCGGTTAGTTGCCGATTCAAAAACGCCCTATCTCGGCACATTTTCAATGTATTTTCGGTTGAGATGGGCGTTTTTTAGCCAAATTCTGAGATAGGACGTTCTTCAACCAAATTTTGAAATAGGATGTTTTCAATAAAATTCTGAAATAGGGCTTTCTTAAATCAAATTCTGCAGTAGGGCGTTCTTGAAAAGTTTTTGTGAGAGGGGTCGATCTTCCTCATAAATTCAAAATTGAAACTTTGTTCGAAATTAAAAAAAAAAACTCAACAAAGTATTACCAATATTACAAACTTTTCATTCAGAATTTGTAGAACAATTTTTGGTATGCAGTTTTATGGCTTACTAAATTTTAATTGAATAAGGTGCATGTTTGAAGTTTCTGACGGCGATATGCACTTTCTTCTATATAAAAAGTTACTCTGAAGTTTATAGTTTGTAGTTTGCAGAATTTTTCTAATTTTGGCATAAAATCAGTGTATGAAATGAAATGAATGTATTAAATGAATACATGAAATGAGCAATACTTTTCTAAATAATTAATTAACATTAAACAAACTGAAAAAATAGTTAAGACCGTTCAAAGTGCTACAATTCTATTATTTTGAACATAGGGTTATGTATTGTTAAAATTAAGAATTTTCAGTTGTTTTGAATTGATCCGCAAGTATTCGCATTTCAAGGGCTCGCTTCTCAGATGCAAATTGTTTCTATAGTTCGTGTACTTCTTTCATTTGCGTAAAACGTAAAGTTCGATTTTCGCGAATTCCACTTCTTTTTTCAGTTTTCTTTCCGTCCATTTGGACTTTATTTCTGCTAGCTTTGCCCAACTTGTGTGTTTTCTGTTTACAATTTCAGTGCACAGCTCTTTGTTTTTAGGCGTTTTCAACTGCATTGATGTGTAGTGCTCCCAAGGCTCATAATCTGCAAACAAACAAGCTAATCAGAATTTAAAAATTATAAAACATATGCTGCTACCTTCTTTTTCAGTTGTTGTATGATTTGGGGTTGAAGCCAGGGATGGAATTACAAAATTTCAAAATGTGCCTAACGGACTGCAAAAATAGTGCCAAAAAGGAGATGAAAGTGCCACAAAATTTAAATTGCTTTCTTTTAAGGGTTTTTAAG